TGGGAAGGGAGGAAGCCTGCGTTTTCCATAGTGCACACTCAGATGCCAGCACGTTCAGGTGCCCGAGGGACCTTATTAGACAGGCTTTGACAGCATTGAAGAATGCCCTTGCTCGGATGGCAGGGCACTACCATTGCGGGAGAGGAGCTGCCAGAACCACTTGTGTTGAGAAGCCGTCTAAAGGTGGTTATCATGTTTCATGACCAGTCCATCTAGAAGTGGAGGGAAGCTGTGCTGTACTTTGGGGCAGATATTTATATGGAACTGTTTCTTTGGGATTATTCTCATTATAGTTTAAGATATCAAGAACTGAGAGACATTCAAGAAAGAGAGATTTGTTCTGCCTATGACACCAAAATGAAAAGACCACTGGACCGATTACATGATTATAAGCAAGCACTAGTGTCTTAGTCAGTGTTCTGTTGCCTTGACCACGGCAACTCTTATAAAGGAAAGCATTTAATTGGGGCTGGCTTACAGTTCAGAGGTTCAGCCACTGTCATCGTGGCGGGAAGCATGGTGGCATGCAGGCAGAGGGGAGCTGAGGGGTCTACATCTGGATCTTCAGACAGCAGGAGAGAAGAGTGAGCCACTGGGCCGCAGTTGAACTTCTGAAATCTCAAAGCCCACCTCCAGTGACACACTTCCTCCAATAAGGCCACACCTACTCCAGCTAGGCCACACCTCTTTATAGTACCACCCCCTACGAACCTATGAGGGCCATTTTCATTCAAACCACCACATTCCACTCCCTGGCCACCATAGGCTTGTAGCCATATCATAATACAAAATGTATTTAGTCCGGCTTCAAAAGTCCCTGTAGTCTATAACCATCTCAATGATTTTCCAAGTCCAAGTCCAAGTCCAAAGTCTCTTCAGGGATACGTGGCAATCTTATAACAATAACCCCTATAAAATCAATATGAAAAAACAGATCACATACTCCCAGCACACAATGGCACAAGACATACATTACCATTCAAAAAAGGAGGAAAAGAGCATAGTGAGGAAATACTGGACCAAAGCAAGACCTCCAAACTCTGCATCTCCAAGTCTGATGTCAAAAATTCTCTTCATGTCTCCAACTCCTTCCAGTTTTATTGATTGCAACATATTCTTTCTCTTGGGCTGGTTCCACTCCCTGTTAGTAGCTCTCCTCGGCAGGTATCCCACGGCTCTGGCATCTCTAACATCTTGGCGTCTCCAAGGCAATCCAGGCTCCAGCTTCACAGCTTCACACTACGGCCTCTCTAGGCCTCCATTCAGGGACACCCCCGACACATGCCTGGTTTCAGTGGTTTTCTTTAGTCTCAGAGAAATTCCATGGCCCCTTTCTCCTATCTTTGACTCTAAAGCCAGAACCATGTGGCCGAAGCTGCCAGGTTCTGCTGCTTGCTGGGACTGGAACATGGCCCCCTCCTTCAATTACATCTTCACAGTTTTCTGGTTTTGATGGTTTCCTTCAGTGCCTAAGCTTGGTTGTCCTGGAACTCACTCTGTAGACCAGGCTGGTCCTGAACTCAGAGATCTGCCTGCACTGCCTTTTCTAGTGCTGGGATTAAAGGTGTGTGCCACCATGCCTGGCCCTAGCTTTTCTTTAATTCCTTTTCATAAATTGGAAGCTTAGCTGGGTGGGGCCCTGCTCTGAGGTCACCACTCCTTTTATTCCACTTAGAATCAAGCTTTTCTTTAATCTTTTTACACTTCCTGGTCTCCTTTCCTCCTCCAACTGTACATTGCGTATTTTTCCTTGCTCATCTTGCTCCTTTTCATTATAGATCTGCAAAAGCCTGGCCACTAACAGCCACACAACACAGCAGTGCTAGGTGGCTTAGAATTGTCTGCCAAAGCTGTTAATCCATAAGTCTTCAATTTAGCCTCAAGCATATTTTTTTAGATAAGGGTAGAAAGCAGCACATTCTTTGCCAAAATATCAAAAGAATCTTCTCTAGGCCACGTACTAATATTCTTCTCTGAAACCTCTTGAGCCAGGCTCTGAGAGTTCAAATCCCCCTCAGCACCACTGTCTCCCATGATCTTACCCTACTATTATGACCCATTAAGTTCTGCTTAAAGCATTCAGCTGCTTTTCTAGCTCAAAGTCCACATTCCTCCAAAGAAAAGCAAGGTCGGCCTACCACAACAATACCTGACTCCTGTCTTGGTATCATACCAGCTTCTGTCTTAGGGTTTCTATTGCTGTGAAGAGACACCGTGACCATGGCAGCTCTTATAAAGGAAAACATTTGATGGGGGACTGGCTTTCAGTTCAGAGATTTAGTCCATTATCATCATGACAGGGAGCATGGCGGCATGCAGGAAGACGTGGTGCTGGAGAGACAGCTGAGAGTCCTACCTCTGCCTCCACAGGCAGCAGGAAGAAAGGTTGAGGTTGAGCCCACCTCTTGTGACACGCTTCCTCCAACAAGGCCACACCTAACAGTGCCACTCCCTATGAGCCTACGAAGACCATTTTCGTTCAAACCACCACAACTAGATTTTAAAATATTATATATAATATATAATATTAAAATATATAATAATATTTAAATGATTAGTAGTTAAAATATTTAAATTTTTTTACTATGTGTTGATTTCTTACTGCCTTTCTAGTATCAATTACATGGTACACACGGAGGTTCTGGCCTCCTTCCCAAATGCAGCTAAGAATGAGTAAACAGGTGAAATTCAAATTCAGCTAACTTGATATTAGCAAATTTTTATGATGTATTAATTCTTGCTGCTTTTCTGAAACTTTTCTGTACTATAAATAAACACACAAAAATATATTATTCCCAGTTATTCCAACCGGTGACATGACATATTGCCACTGTAAGTCCAGAAAAAGCATCCCATAATACTCCAACCCATCCCCACTTCCAGGGCAGTCTGAAGTGCTGAGTATAGTTACTAGTATTAGATTAACACAGAAGAGCTGACTTGATTGGCAGCTCCACGTGCCAGGCACTCTCCCAGGCACCTTGTGGATATAATCCTATCTAGTCTAACAGTCCTGTGAGGTGGGGGAAGACGATACCTGTGTACAGAACTGAAACTCTAAGGGCACAGCAATGGGAAAGCAACTTAGGAGGCAGCTCTAGCCTGGCAGAGCTCAGACCAACAAGAACAGAGGCTTTGCGCATGGCATCATGTGTCACAATGGTTTACCTTTTCAATACTGAACTGGAAATATTTGGAGAAATTTTAAATTATGAGTCTATCAATAGCTCCTGGATTATTTAACAAATATTTACTGAGTGACGGCTATATGCTGAGCACAGGGATTCTCTGCTCCATTAACAACAAGGAGGCATCAAACGATAAGTCTCTGCTGTCTGCCTTCATAAGACAAGTTAAATAAAACACATGCATTGCGCACATATGTATTTATGCACACATGCACACATTTACAAAGTGATGTGAGCCTTCAGTTTCCTCTCCATACAGAAGGGCTGAAACTAGTGAATGAGTGACAGCTGACTGGAGGTCATGTCCACAAGTTGTTTCCATTTGGTGTGAACAGTTAGACTTGTTTCCAGACCGTTAACTGCTCAGGACAGGTGAATACCCACCCACTTAGAAAACTTCCTTGGACATACAGACAGTTTTGGAGTAGGCCTTTGTGTGTGTGTGTGTGTGTGTGTGTGTGTGTGTGTGTGTGTGTGT